TAACAGGCTCTGGTCATTTGAACATTAAAACTTTATGCTCAAGTTCATAGGAGGCAGCAGAAATGGAGAATATCACTGGTCAGGTCATAACTTAGGTGACCAGAAACTCCACCACTGACACTAGCTGCTCTCCTGCTGCTGTTATATTCCTTTATTGAAAGAAAATATAAAAAAAAAAAAAAAAAAAAAGACAGCTAGCCTAAGAAATAGAAAGAATGGAAAATGGTCCGTAAGATTTCATGAACTATGGGCTAATCTGGAAAATAGTTACCTCCACTTTTGAGGAGTACTTTGCTGCATCAATCACCAAACCAAATATATAAACACCTTGAGTTTACTTAATGTCATCTTTCTGGCCTGGTTGAACAGAAAGTTGTATTCAAAAGGGATGCACTTTCAGCTGTACTTTCTACAGCTTAAAATCGTTCCGCACCAGTCTCCTCTTTAACACCCACCTTGATATATACCTCAGGTAGAAGCGCTTCTCTTTCCAGCATTTATGTAAGAGGAGAATATCGTGGGTGCACTTTGAAGAGGAGGGACTTGAAAACGCACATAAGGGTTAAAGTAATTCCCCAGCATTGGACAGAGAAGACTATGAGAGCTGGGAAAGGAGCCCAGATGCTCCAGAGCCCAGTCTGGAGAAACCATAATATGAGCTTTCCACATTGGCCAGTCCCTGTTAGCTGCTTCGGGCACGTGTGAAAAGCAGAACGCTCTTGATGTCCACTGAACTGCCTCACAGCAGTGGCTACTTCCCTGCCTGCGCTAGTCTGGATTTGGCTCTGTTATTTACTGTGTCTCTGTCTTCCCTCCCCAGCTGGTAACAAATTCACGGGAGCTGTGTTCCCGAGTCTTTCGATATAGCAAACGTGGTACAAAATGAGTGAGACTTTCAGGTCACATTTAATTAATCTGGGAGGTGTCTACTGCCATTTCGTCTTGTCTGCTGCCACTCCAGCAGGACATGGGTCTCCCTATGTTCCATAGGATATGTCTACCAGCCCCAGACAGATGTCTTGAATATCCTACAGTATTTCAAATGGCACCAAGTGCCTGAGTTCAGACAACTGAATTTCTTCCTCAGTCTCTGCAGTTTACATAGTTCTGTGCTGTATTTTCACAGTTGCAGTGGGAGTTGTGGTCTCTACCTCTGGTACCATACGTGAGGCTCACTAGAACTCCTGAGAAGTGCTCAGAGACACTCGGGTCAGTTTTTTCATTTGCAGACCTCCAGGTAAAGCTGCTCTAACTGTAACAAAATGGCAGTTTCTGTCATTGCAAATCCATTGTGTTACCACTGCTTTGGGTTTCTTTTTAATGCAGCATTTCCAGCTAGGTTTATCAGAGGGTTTTCTCCCTTTCTTAGAATGTAAACTTTCCCACAAATGTCTGTCTCCCATGGAACTAATTTGACAAAATGCTGCTGTGAGTTTCATTTTGTCTCCAACTGCGCGAATGACTGCCGAGGAGTAATTATGCGTTGTAGCCTGCACTCAGTGGAGCACTAAAGGCTGTAGTTTAGTAGTCACTTTGCTCCGTTCTGTGCTCTTGCACAAATCTCTGCTAATCTACCTAAGTAAGAAGTGCGCAGGCTTCCAGGAACCGTGCACGTTTGCCATTTCGAGCCCTGGTCAAAATGCTCACCGGTGGTGTATTTTTAGCACCTCACATTTTACCAGAAAGGCAGCGTAAAGGTTATCAAGTTCTTCCCTAAGCCAAAAAAAGTGTGTGTGAGAAAATACCACTGGTAATGTTTATCCAGAATGTAAAACATGGTATCGGAATAAGTCATATTTTTCTTGGCTTCTGGCCAAAACAGAGCTGTCAACAAAAGAAAAGTGTATAGGGTTGAAAGGGAAGAAGGCTATGAAAAAAAAATTAGAGGCCCTTTTGTTTTCCTTTCCCAAATACTGTTGTGAGAAAGAGTCGTCTTAGGCATATTTATAAATCATGTGTGCTATTGGAAACTACCAGACCTTCGCCTCACAAAACACGTATCACATTTTAAATTCCCAATGCTAAGAATTTTAAGAAGAGCCCTCAGATTAATCTATACCTTCTGGCTTGCTTTGTAGGTGAGTTTGGAGATGAATTGAACAATAGCTCTTTCAGGAATTTGGAAATGCAAAAGAAAAGATCTGCTTTTTCTGAAGCTCCCTCTGTAAAGGCAAATAAGAATCCTTTCATTTTCACTGCATTGTTCTCTTCCTTTCAGAAAAAAAATTGTGAATTGGATATTATTATCCCAACTGTCTAGATAAGGAGATTGAAGCAGAGATTGAGAGGCAAATTATGTATAGTCACTGCATAAGCGCACAGAGGATAATGAAAGAGACCTCTGCGGACTGTTGCGCCCATCAAGGAGAAGATAATGTTGCTGTAGGAGTCATTGAAAGATTCCCACTGATTGACACGAGAAAAAGGCTGGTCAGTGCAATGGACCCACACTGCGTGTTTGGAGCCCAGGATTCCCTGTTCCAGTCCCAAATATGTTTTCCTAGTTAAATTGCCTATAAAATTCTCAAGCCAATAGTTTCCATTATTTACTGGAGAAAGCCCAGCACAGACAAACTTAGTAATACAGATTTTGGCCGTATTGTAGAACAGTCAGGCAATAGAAAGATACAATCAGGTACCCAGAAGGTGATGAGCTGGCATGGCCTCTGTGAAATGAGCTGTCATCCTCCGATAGATACGGGTTTACGCATTTTTCTTCCAAGGTTTTGGAAACAATTTCTTCATGGTGGCTTAGAGAAAGAGTCTCAATTTGCAGCAGTAATTTGCTTCCAGATGTGGACAACTATCCCACAAGATCAGCTTTGTAAAGAAGAAAGCAGTATTTGCTTTCCACGCTGGGTAAATCTGTTGCTTAGCTGGTGCACAGTTTGAACCATTCTCCAGTCAAAAATACGCTCTCTGAGTTTCCAAGTAAATTGTTTTAAAATGCACTCAGAGGAGAGCAAGTATTTTTTATTAATTTTAGAAAACTTTCCACTGCAAAACCAATATGAAATTCAGTCAGTTAGTTCTTTTTGCCACCCTCAAGTTGAGAGTTTTGCTTGCCAGACTTCTATCCCAATCCAAATGCTGCAGTAAGCTTAAATCTTTTTGTCAGATCGCTCAGATCAGTAATCTCACTGATTTGTCTGTGTGTGTGTGCGTGCTTCAGGGTACAGTAGGACTGCAGTCCTACAGTGCCAGTTGCCTCTGCAGGAGACTTTGACTGATTTGTGCCACTTTTCTCTTAATACATCACGGGGAAAACTCAGTTTATCATGAGTCTTGCAGTGTGGGTGCTGGCCCAGTTCACGTTGGCTTCTGGGGATGTTCAGGTCCTGTCAAAGCTCATGTCAATGGCAAATGCTGGAAGAAATTGTATTCCAGTCACAGAGCACTGTGTCTTTTCCTCTGTATTCCAACAAGCAGTACAGGTTTCTGTCTTAGATTCCAGTTTAGGAAACCACTTAGGCACGTACGTAGCCTTGCCACCTTGAATTCATCCCATCTGTATGTTTGAATACGTAAGGATGTATATGTGAAAAAAGTTTTGGAAGGCTTCCTTGCAGGTGTGTTTTGCTGTTTTCCTTGATCCCACATACATGAAGTTAGCTTTGTAAGTGCAAGGCAGTTTAGCTGCAAGCAGAAGAATCGGGCTCCAGGATTGCTACAAAAGGCATAAAGAAAGGAGAGGTGAATGATAAATAAATAAATAAATAAATGAAGTAAAACAAAATAAAATACCTCATGCTTCACAACGTGCTTTCAAGTTGCTCCTGGTATGAGCAAGGGAAAATCAAGCAATAGAATAGCAAAAAAGGAAGCTACCTTGTTGAACATAATTTAAATCAATGTCAGGAAACATCCCTGAATTTTTACTCAGATTATTGTCTTAAAAGGCAGCAGAAAAATGGCATTTTTCAGGTAGTGTTTGGTAAACTACAAAAAAAATGTCATCTGTTACTGTATCTGTGCTAGTAAGGGTTTGATCTTGAAAAGGGCAAATCTGCTTCACCTGACCAGAGTTAGTTTAAGTGTGGCTAGAATGGAAAATTATTTTTTCAATAGGCTAATCACAAGGGCAAAAGTTAGATACAGTGTCACAGGCGACAATGTCTTAAACTTAGGAACAGGAAGCTGGAAAAAATGAATTGCCCAATGTGAAATCCTAGCTTCAATGATTTAGATGGAAAAGCTCTGCTGGTCAAGATTTTTATTCCTAAGAAACCAAAGGTCTGTTGTGTAACAGGTTGCCATGTGTATTTTCTTTAATTTTAGGGGGGTGGCGGGGGGTGTTGGGATTTTTCTTAGTTTCATCTTCTTTTTCTTTTTTTTTCCTTCTAATAAGCCAAGACAACACTTGGCACTCATTCTGATTTCAGACTTGTTTTAGATCATTGTACAACTTCATCAAAAAACATGGAGTTATTTTCTGGCAAAATCAGGCCCCTTGATACGTTTCATTAGAAACAGCTCTCAAAGGATTAGTTCTCTTTCCTCCTCCCCTCCCTCCCCTCAGGATGCAGAGTGATTGTCTAACAGTACTGAGCTGTATTTATTTTTCATTGCCAGGCAATTTTTATTTAGTTAAGGTGCAGATATATTGGCACAGTGGGTGCATGGGGTGGCTGTGGTCGCCTGCTCTGAAATTGTATGGATATGCAAAACCTTTGCCTTGGCATACGCTGCTTTTCTGCAGCCTAGCTGAAATGCGTACTTCACAGTGAAGCCAGACCATTTCTTTGCGACAGGCTTTATTAATCCTAATCTTTTGATCGCCAGCACACTGAGTATGCTCAGGCACCACAGAGATTCTTCCTAGATGTGGATGTGTCAGTGTGGTGGTGTGTGACTCTAAGGCTGCATACTTTTCATACTTTGGGGAATGAGTTTCAGAACCCCAGTGGAGCCAAAGGGGCTGAAATTAAGAGTGGATTTCAGAGCAACAATGCAAAGTGTAAAAAGGGGGAAACCCAACCTTTTTCTCCTCTTTCATTTAGCAGAAGAGATGAAGAAATGGCTTTGGCTAAGCATGACAATGAGGATGCATTCATTGCTGCACAACTCCAGCAGACTTTGGCTGGCCTGGATGAAGATTTAGAAGGTGGGGAAGTGTGTTACCTCTGCAGTACAAAAGAGAGGCATAGCCAGGAGATGCAGAGTCAAACTGTACTCCGAGGCAGCCGCACATTTCTTGCTAAGGTCGCTGGGAACAACTCTGCCTTAGACCTGTCACCGAAATCGGGAGGAATAAACCTCGTAACACCAATGTAGTGTTAAAAGGCAGAATATGATCAACCCAAACTGGCTGCTCTCCCTTTGCTTCTGGAGCAGCCACTCTTTACAGACTCTCACTGAATGTTTTGCAAGCTGCTTCTCAGATTGTCATTGTATTTTGGTATCGGCTAGCAAAAAGAGACGAACACCAGTTCATGGACACATTTTATGGGCCAAATTTGGTATAATTTCATTGAATTCAGTGAAGCTAAATCAGTTGTGAATTTAGCTCTCTGCTTAATGAACAATGCCTCTGTTTTGTATCTTATCATAATCAAGTGGAGAAGGGGGGACACATTTTTGTACCCAAAGCCTCCCCTGCGTTAGCAGACGTATTTTAAAGTTAAAAATCGAAAAACACGAAAAGAAACAGTGGGAAGAGATAAAACGTCATATTGTGCTCCTCTTTTTCCTACTGTGAATATAAATATTTCTCTGTTAGTGGTTTGTCACCAAATGATGCTGAATACTTTTTTAAAACTTCCCATCTTTATTTCAGTACTTCTGCAGTGGACTTGATTCTGATTTAATTTCTGTGAGTTCTCTAACATGGCAATTTCTTAGCTTCTGTGTTGTAACCCTTGATTTATGCCAGCAAATTTGAGAGCAGAGTTAAGCTTCTTGCACAATGAGGCTTCTGGAGTCACTGGTAATGAAGGGTGAGAAGAATGGAGAAAAAATACAAGTACTGTTTCTTTGTTTGCTTGCTCAAGGAAATCCTTCAGCTGGGCTGTTATTACCAACCAGGTCTGGGAAACATAATTTGGAGTTGCTCGCTGTTTCTCAGAAATGTTTCTCCTTTGGAGTCATGTGGTGAAATGTTTATCACTGAGAGAAGTTAGTCAAAGATAAGGTATGAACAATAGATTAAATTCTGCTTTCAGCTGCATTTGTATGTTTCCCACTGGCTGAAGCAGGAGGACTGCAGGAATATTTGGCTGATCCTAATCAGCAACCAGACAATAAAAAGGACCCAGATCTCTCCTTTTTTGTAATACAGGCATAAATATATTCCTGTTAGTTTTAGTGTAACTAAAATATCTGATCCGCTTAAGCTTGTACTGGCTGTTTGTGTAATTTAAAGTCATATTGCCTGAATACTGCCTATATGTAATGTTGTATGTGTATTTTGCAGCAGTGGATGGTATAAGTAACCCTGACTCTGAGTACGTCAATGAAGAGCTGAGCCCACATATAAGAAAAGTTGAGGCTGCCCAAGGTGTTACCATTTCTGTTCCAGTAACAGTCATAGATGATGCTCCAGAAGTTAGCACCTCTAACTCAGCTGGAAATCAAGAGACAGAGACAAGGGTTTCACGAAGTATCTCAGCTGACTCTGTTAATACGGGAAACTTTACAAATAAAACCAACAATGCAGGTTCCTTTGATAAGGGACACACAGATGGTGGAGCTGTATGCATATCCAAGGACCTCATACATCAGCAACCATCTGAGAAAGAATTTGGTCACTTGCCTGTGGAACAGAGGAGAGACATGTTTGAATCTCTCACATCCTCCTTTGAAAAAAGAAATGAAAAAAACTTAAGACTGGACACCCCCCCCAAACGTGGTGCGAAGTCTGAGGAATGTAGATCTAAGCTGACTCCGTCTCACTCCAAGACCACAGCTGAAATCAGTACAGCAAAAGAGAAGATAAATCCATTTAATGAATGTAGTAACAGAGAAAGATCTCTGAAAAAAAGTAAATCAGAATTAGAAATCAAATGGCCACCAGTAAAAAAAATTGAAGTAGAAGAAGTCCCATCAACACCCACGTGGTGTCATCGTGCCCAGAATTCAGGAACAAACTACGAACCCAAAATGGGTTTAACAACCTTTAAAGTTGTCCCTCCAAAACCTGAAGTAAAACATTTCGATAGAGGAGTTTCACTCTCCACTGGTGCCATTAAGATAGATGAACTGGGCAATCTTATAGGCCCGAACACTGGTGTCAGTAAGCACATACCAGGTACCTCTACTGATGAAAGTGAGGAAATTCATCTTGGGAAGGTGAAGGCATTCTGGAGGTCAAGTTCCATGGAAAAGCAAAGTGATGAGTCTGCTGAGCATCTTCCTAAAAAGTCATCAGTCACCACAAACCCTAAGCTCTTTACTATAAAACATGAACACAAACCTGTCTGTCTTGCAGCTCCAAAGCCGCTAGCACCACAAACTGTTACTACCCAGGTAGCTGAGAATGAGAATGAAAGGACCAAACCACCTCTTCCAGTTACACAGTCTCAGGGCACACCAGTAGTGGCCCCAACTGTGAATAAGGACAAGCTGGAGCTTCCATTTCTAAAGCCGCATAGAAGAACTTCAAGTCAGTATGTTGCCTCTGCCATTTCAAGACACATCAACGTAACTACTTTTAAGTCTGACCCTATGGAATATCATGAGAAAGATGAAAATAAGCAAGGGGCAGGAGAGGTTAAAACTGAAGCAGAAGTTTCACCAAAAAGATGTATTATTGTGGCCAAATACAGCCCTGTGGATACAGAATCAGCAGAAACAAGAGAAACACTTTCAAGTATTTTTACTTGCAGTCAAAAAGCATCCCACAGGTTTACACCTGGCGATAATTCTGGTGTGGAAAACAAAGTAGTTAATATCAGGGCACCAAATCAAGCAACTCCTGCGAGTTTCTATAAAAAGAATGCCAGTGTCCCACTTACTAAATCCTCTTCAAAGGATAACAACAGTGCAGAAGATGATTATGGCTTAAACAGCAAACAAAGTATAGCAGAGAAAAAGACGCGTCTTTTGTTTGACCAGAAATGCGAGACTTTGACCCATACTAATTCGGCCCCATCTCTCAAGTCTCCTGATCTCCAAGGAGTCCCATCTTCTCTCAGCTCGTCTTCGCGAGTCTCTAAATGGCCTCCTGCTAACGGGGTGCAAGTTAGTTCACTTAAAGCTCCACCCGAGCTAAATGGTGCAGCAGCAAATGCAGAGTCAGAACAGGAGGAGAAACCTGATGATTTGGATATCAATGCTGTCAGTGAACTGGATGTTAATGTGCAGACCAATATCTTTGGACCAAAGAAGAAGTTCAAACCTGTTGTCCAAAAGCCAATTCCAAAAGATACGTCACTGCACAGTGCCCTAATGGAAGCCATTCAAACAGCAGGGGGAAAGGAGAAACTCAGAAAGGTACAGTGGAGACTTTTTTTAGCCTGTTCAGACTGCTGAGCCCTGTATTCCCTCTGTCAGACACCAGAGGTTTTGTAACCGGTACAGTTGCTGGTGAGCTGGCGTACACAAGGCATTTGAAAAATTTATAATAGCAAAATACAGACCAAGCCACTGCTTATTCTGCACATCCTGTATATTATGCAACACCGTTGCTGCTGCACTAGCTAGAAGAGGCAGAGGGTACAGAGATACAGCAAAAAGGAGAGGCAATTGAGGTTAGCCTAAGAACTGAAGCCACGTTTCAGTGTGTTATGTAAAAACGGGAACACACAGCATGGAGAAAACTTGTAAATACCTGCAGTGAAAGAAAACTGCATTTTGTGTTAATAGGTGGTAGTAGTTTGCCACTGACTTCATGCTCAGGGCATATGAGGCTGCATCATAAGTCCAGCATTACTGTCTACGTGCATCCTCACCGATCAGTGTGAGTAAGGATTGTAAAAAGAGGCCTGAAAGAAAACAGACTCATCAGTCTCCATAGCTTGCATTCTGATACAAGTGCCAGAAATATTTTTAATACTGTTTCCAAACTATCTCTAAGTAAATATCTAATAACAACATGAGGTTTATTCTTTTCATATTCTAGGTTTCCGACAGCGCACTAAATGGCAATCACAGGAAACCCTCATATGTTGAGCCAGAGAATGAGCGCTCAGCCCTACTAGCAGCAATTAGAGGCCACAGTGGCACCTCAAAGCTGAAAAAGGTAAGAAATCAAGATGGTAAGTGATCTTTTAAGTGCAGTCTGTTCCTACTGGGTGTTTTGAATAAACCCAGATATGCCACAAACTAAACATTGTGCTGCAAAGCGAGAAGTTGAGGGGGAAATAATATGACATAAGACCAGATCTGACTTCAGCAGATAGCATAGCAGGTCCAATCCTATCCTCTGCTATAAAACTTACACTCTTTCAAATGGTGTTCTTTTAGCTGAGAAAGAAGCACATAGATATCCAAATGAATTACAGGGAGTGTACATAGAAGACATCAACATTCATCATTTTCACATTTAGGTGTGTAGGGGTTGTATTTTAGGAGTACGCAATTAGATTAATATATTTGTATTACCTGCCGTATGCATCCAGTCCCAGTTACCTGAAAACACACTAGGGCTTCTTCACGCATGCTGTTTATCTGTTAACATGTGCTCGTGCATGCAAGTTGTATGTAAGTAATTGATGTTGATGGAACATCAACTTTCACCACAGCAGGGTGATTCCTTCTGTCTGAAAGATTTACCTAATCATTAAAGCATCTCTTATTCCTAATAGCCAAACCTGCATTGTTCTAGCCTTAGTTTTTCACTCAGTTCACTAATCCAGCCAAGGATGTGTACTTGGCAAGGAGGCTCCCATTTCCCTCGTGCAATGACTCAGGCCATTAGCACACATCCAGATAGCTGGCATTAGATAGAAGGAATCTCTTGCCTGTGTTAGGCAATTACTTCGTCCCTCAAATATCTTACTCCCTTGCTGCAGGTAGGGTACAGCTTCCCCTGAGCCTGAGAGCAGGATGTGCTAGGCAGAAGCCATCTTTGCACATACTTAACTGCATTCTGCATTCATTTGGAATAAATGTAAATTTGTGTAAAAGAAGCTCTGATAATGAAGTGGTGGTGTATTATCACAGAGACTTTTTGGAATACTTTCCTCCAGCAGAGAAGCTTTTGCCATGATTTTAAAGGAAGTTGCCTAGAAACCGTACGCTTCTTTTTCACACCATGTCACCTGTGCTAGTTAAAGCACTGTGGTTGTATGTGTACAGGGCGAGATATAGATGTGCTATGATGAAAAGGCTATACCTTTCATGTTGTCTCAAATGTTCATGCTTTATTTCACGTGACATTATTCCCATATATTGTGTGTGTGTGTACAGTGAAGGAATAGAATATAGGAGCTCTCTAAATGTGGATTATTTGATGGGAGAGGAATCCTTTCATTTTTCACTGGAGAAGTTTTGTGCCTCAGTTTCTCTGAGAAAGGAATGCTAACACATCTGCTTGAAAATCTCCCATTTGGCACATGATACTGAATTTCCTAATAATCGCCAAATCATCGTAATTACTAACAATTTATCATGTTTATTACTAGTAATGTTGTTAATGGCAAAAATACTTGTTGAAACGGTTGACGGAAAAGCTGGCTTAGCCTAAAAGATTGCCTCCTCCCCCTGCATTTGTTTGAAGTAGGATGAGTTTCCAAGCTGGTAATTCGTGCAGAAATTTTAGCTTCAGAAATTCCACAGAAACACACTTGGAAGAGCAATCAAGTTGATTTTGTTTTCAGTGCTTTCATGTAGTTCTCTCTAGTCCTTTTTTGGTTTTTGTTTTTCTTTTTAGTATGGCTGGAAACTTAACCTTAGGTTTAACGGTGTTTTTTTCAATGAAGCCATGTCTGAGAGCTCAGATCTAGAAGAGCCTCCCTGTCATCTGAGATTATTTCTGTGCAGCCCAGACTGCAAAAAGTAACTAGATTCCTGGGTGGCTACTGCAGCCTTAGTATATCTGCCTGGTTCCAAAACCCTTGTGGTTGTTTCCAAATGAATACCAAGTCCAATTCTCGCTTACCTTACATGCCAAAAAGAGTTACAGGATGCTGGAGCTCACAGTAAGTAAAGACTGAGTTTCTGAGACAGAGTGAGTCAATGCCAACTCCTTGATGCTGGTAGTCAGCCCAGCTGAGTGATGTGAGTGAGTAGTAACAGATGTTCAACCCTATGAGCAAATAAAAGTTCTACGTGTTTTACATCATTCAAACAAAGTGAAATCAGGGTACTGAAAGTGCATCAAATGTCACATAATTACAGTTTAGTCATGCTTGATATTAATTACATCCTTTCAACTGCATTATGAGCAGATCTCCTCGTTGGCCTCCGAAGAGCTGCAGAGTTTTAGGAACGCAGAACTGTCCTTGCAGAAGGCAGAAGACCCTCGCTGTCAGCAGCAGCAGCTCCTAAATCCTCTGCCATGGCTACAGGTAACCCTGGGGAGGCAAGGCAAGCCCTAATGGAGGCCATTCGCTCTGGTGCTGGAGCAGCAAAGTTAAAAAAGGTAAATGTACTTTTATATTTTATTGTGGCTGAAACAACCTAGGCCTGCTGTGCTTTGAGAGCCACCTATAAACTGTTCTAGCCACACGTTTCTTTCTTCCATCAAAAGAAGGTGCACGCACTGTTTCCTCTAGCTGAATCAAAGATCAGGAGTGCATCTCAAACCTTTGAACAGCTATTAAAACATACGATTAGGACTAAAATATGCCTGTGCATATATGCAACCATATGAGTGGTCAATACATGTTTTTTTTAAGAGAACATCAAGAGCATTAATATAATTTCAGAAAGCATTTTCATGCCCTTTTCATTCTTGTGATTCTGAGATCATATTGGATGTCCTTTAGGCAGGGTGAACCTAAGAAAGATCAGATATGAGACCCTGAAGCTACTTCAGAGATAAGTATTTTCTCCTAATTTCACCTTGGTCGCACGTGCTGAGAGCTGTCAGTAAAACTGCGGGGTTGGTTTAATGTCTGTCTGAACTTTATTAATCAGAAGATGTGTGTTTCACTTCTGTGGTTAGCTATGGGTTAGTTGCGCCAGGGTGGTTTTTGGAGTAAGATCACTTATCTCTTTGATCAAAATTTGTTCTTCCTAACCTCGATTTACACTGCATTTCTTGGTAAAGAGAAGCAGATCAGTTGGCCTTAGTGGAGTCATCCCAATATTACACTGCAGTATCCAAGAATAGACTTTGATCCAAGGACTTCAGGGAATGTACAAAAGCAGATGTAGTTTTCCCAACACATGATTTAGCTGATGCCAACCATAAATGTGTAAATAGGCTTTAACCTTGCCTACTTGTCCCCTTTAATTCAAAAAATACGATCAAGTTTTAACATTAAAAAGTAGCCCAAAAAAGCTTTGTTTCTGATAGACCAGAAATTTCACAGAATCATACAAATGGCACAAACAAATCAGTGTTTCAGGGAACTTTACATCAGCATGCAAACAGAAATCTGGATATGCAGTTATTTTGCATGTGAAAAATTACATCTGTGTCCTGCATACTGTTAGGAGGAGTGGCTGAGGTCACTTGGTTTGTTCAGTTTGGAGAACAGAAGGCTGAGGGGTGACCTCATCACAGTCTAGACCTTCCTCAAGGGGGGCAACGGAGGGGGAGGTGCTGATCTCTTCTCTCTGGTGACCAGCGACAGGACACAAGGAAATGGAATGCGGCTGCGTCAAGGGAAGTTCAGACAGGACGTTAGGAACAGGCTCTTCACTGAGAGGGTCGTTGGTGGAACAGGCTCCCCAGGGAAGTGGTCACGGCACCAAGCCTGTCAGAGTTCAAGGAGCATCTGGACGATGCTCTTAGTCATATGGTTTAGTTTTAGATAGTCCTGTGAGGAGTGGGGAGTTGGACTCGGTGATCCTTATGGGTCCTTTCCAATTCGAGATATTCTATGATTCTAAGACTAAAAATTAGGAAGAAATAGTACTCCAGATCAGGCTTTTATTTCCCCACTTCACCGTTTTACAGAAAAAAGCAGATTTGGACATTCAAGAATACTTCATTCAGTTGTTTTCTAGATCTTTCCAAATTCTTTGTTCTTCCAAGTACATTACTCTTGCAGAAGTCTCTGAGGGGACCCATAGACTCATTAAAACAAGTCTTTATCATATCCTTGGGGATTTATCTCAAAACAGTTGGATAGCCAGTGGAGACCATGAAAGTAAGCTTGATATACTGATGTATTCTGCTAAATACTGTGCCTGTCTTCTTTCATTTTCCAGACAGAGTAATTTTTGGTAGTTTTGACAGTGAAATGACAGAAGAGTACATCTCTTATTGTATAGGTCTTAATAAAATAATAAATAAATAAAAGCAGTGTTTTGTCCAAGACAGAGTATGATTTTGTTATTATTGTGCTGTCCTTCATGATACTGGATATGCAAGTTAAGTCTTGTATATGCCAAAGACATCATGTCACTGACATCTGAGATTTCATGCCCTTGATCACTGATAAAAGTAAAAATGTTGCCAGATTTCCCAAAGAGTTTCTATGCAGTACATATTGATATCTCTCCTAACTTGCTGCATTAAATGAGAGCTGAATTCGGATCCTTCCCTGCAGTTGGACGACATGTGACAGCAAAAGCTGACTCAGTAGAGGAGAATACGTGATAGCTGCGTGTCAGGGTTTTCTTCCTTTACAGCTGAAGAACATGTCTCCGAGGAGCACTGAGCTTGGTAGACAGTGGCTAGCAGGTGGTTTTGTGTCAGGGCAGAAGGAAGCTTTTTTTTTGTTTTGCCTCCTCTGTCGAAGATCTATGATGCCATGATTTGGAGGTATGAGCACAGAGCCATTTTTGGCTTTGCTTTCTAGAAGATTTTGGTTGCAACTAGACAGCAGAGGAGGTAGTTCAGTTCTGTAATTGTGTCTGTTTCTCTTCCATTGTCTTCTTGAAGTTTGCTGGAACAAGGGCTTCTGATGGTGAAGTCATTTATTTAGTTAATATTGTGGGGAACTGGGAAGAATCTGCATTGCTGAGTTACGTGTGACTCAGTCTGTGCTTATTTATGAGGGGTTATTTGCAATGGAAGTAGATCAAACAGGGCTGTCAGGGGAACCAAACATAAAAAGCAACCAATTGCCTAGATAAGGAGCATCCCAACAAATGTTTGAGCTCTATTAATATCTGTGAAAAGGCAACTCCTCCACTCCACCCCTGATTACACAGCTGTTTGCTAAAGTCATGAACTTTAAGGTTAAAAGATCCACTATGCAGGAAGGGAGGAGAGAGATTGCTGCAGACTGACCCTGCCTTGCTGAGAGTCAGGGTCTGCACCACACAGGCTGTAACTGGGTCACCCAAAACAAACCAGAGCAAAAATAGGTACGCGAGGGAAATGCCAAGTATCGGTAAGACAGTATGCGCATCGGTCTCCTGGCTGTTCTTTAATCCATTTCTTGCAGTACTGTGCCTGCTTTGGCAAATAAATCATACTTTGTTTTGAAGAAACGGCTTCTGTTTTATTGCAGTCTGTTGCTGTCCACAGACTCCCAAAGGAAAATTCTTGTGGGTGCCAAGCCCAGTTGGGCCTGCTCAGTAAAATGGTTCATCCCCAGTGCAGTGCACTGCCGTTCAGAGACCTGCCAGAGAGTGGTTAGGCTGCAGATCCTACCCAAAGGGAATGGAGATACAGATGGGTTATTGGAAAGGGATGAACTTACCAAACCGGGGAAGACCTGACAATGTGCAGGAAGTAGTAATATTTTTCTTCAGTTTTCAAGTGGTCTGTCCAGGAACCTGGCAGGTGTTCAACATGTCCAAAGTATAACAGCAGGGCAGGGAGATGGCATCAAAGTAAGGCCACCAGGCAGGGTAGCTGACCTAGTGCCCTTGGTGGTTAATTGTCTTGAGAAATGAACGTGTCTCACTAGCGAGGAGCCTGCTTCCCAGCCATGCAGTCTGCCTCCTCTACAAAGGAGAATCAGTTGCTCTAGGAAATAAACACCTGATCTGAGACCAAATTTTGGCTAATTGTCATGAGCAAAACTCAGGTCACAGAGCTGTACCATTTGAGCTTACGGTGTTAAAAGTAAACTAGTGTTTTCCTTAAATTGCATCAAGCAACTTTTGTCACAACTTCACATATCTGAGGTCTTTATGTTTATTTTTTAAACTTTCTATCTCAGAAAATGCAAAATAACCTAGCTAGATTTCTGAAATTCCGCAGATCATTGCACGTGTATTTTTCTGCCTGTGTAATTTGCCTTGGGATTTACCATGATTATCTGCAGAAAAAAAACATAACTACACATGCAAATAACCCATTAGATGTCTAGCTGTAGGTATAGTTGCAGCACAAGCCCATGCAGGATTGAAAATCTTACCCAACAGAGAGAAGCTGTAAAAGTTGCCTTAGCTTATATGCCATTTACTCATTTTAGCTAGAGTTGACCCAGGGATTTGGTAGAAATACCGCAGGGGAATGTGCCTGTACAAGGTGGGGTAGGCAAGTTGTGTATCTGAAGAACAGGCTTTTGCTCATGGCAAGATGATTTCTTTAAACCGCTTTTCAATGGTACATGCAAGAGAGATTCTACGGATTTCACATGTTTTCTGGTAAAGATTGGGGTTTTATCTAAAGCAGCCTTTTCTCTTTACTTGCTGCGATTTTAAAAATTAATTTGGCTCTGTCACAGTATCCACAAGCATTCATGCCAGCGTTCGGCATTGGCATTTAGTCACATGAACTCTTGATACATGCAGTGTATCATTCAGTTGGCAATCAAAGGAGCCAGGTAAGGTAATTACTGCACCCATTACAATGAGTCCCTGGTATACACTAGGATAATTTGAAGTTGGTTGCCAACAAGTAATGCATCAATCTGAATTATGGCACATTGAGTGTCTTCTAGGAAGCATGGCCTAGCTCCATACCTTTATGTCAAGCAGTGGACTATTCTTCTCACATAATCAAAGATACAGAGTGGTGAATGAAGAAACACTGTTTCTTACCATCAGTGTCTGCAGATGCAATGACAGAGATTACAGGCTCAAAGCCACGGTCAATGCATTGGTATGCTAGAAGTGGGGCAGAAGGCCTCACTAAAAGGTTGGCTGCGCTTGATAAACAGGTAGTCAGATGACCCTATAAAGTGATTCTAGTTCCCATGCACGCTGAGCGACAGTCGTTTGCATGCTGTTACTCTATTGAAATTGAAAGATAAAATTTAATTTGAACTCTTCACCTTGCTAATAATTTGTACTGTGACCTATTTTTTTCCCCAAGAATAAAGCTTCTGCCATGGATACTAAGGCCAAAACGGAAGGTTTAGGCTTGGTCAAATACATTATTCCTGTTTAGCTTTCGTGGTCACCTTAACGTCTATCTCTCTGATAGAGTCAAAGCTCAGTAACTTTGATTTGGGAAGAGCACGCTAGCATACGTATTTAAAATTAAGCATATGCTTAGTTGACTTGAGGACTAGGAAGGAAGATAAGCATTTGTTTAAGTATTTTCCTGAATCAAAGCCTTTGGGAGTTTCCTTCATTCAATCAGGAAGCAAAGTACTCATCAATTGGTTT